TTCTGTCGCCAAGCCCCGCCACTCGAAGCGTCTCGGGCAAGCCACTCGTAGGGCGTGTCGTATCCATAAGTTAGCTGCTGTGGCCCCTCGCAAGATCGGGGCGCGTTTGATCCTCACTGGGGCTTTGCCGCAGGCTTCCTACGCCTGGAAGGTTTTTGGGGTCGCGCCCTCGGTCCTCCAGAAATGGCGACGGGCCTTAGCCAGCAGCTTAATTCGAGGCTCGGCGGGGCGATGTCTCACGACCCTGCTGGCCTTGGAAGTTCAAAAAAAGGACCCTGCTTTCACCACGGTGTTCCAGCTTCTGGAGTCCTGGTTTCAGATCGTCGCTGCGTTGCCTGAAAAAGGAGTGGACCGCATGCGTGCCTGTTGGTCTGCCACGGTCGAGAGGATCGATAGCTTGGGCCCCCAGCGCAGGTGGCATAATATAAAAGGACCTGTGTCAGCTGTGGTCGCTACCATGACGGCTCTGGGATGGAAGCTCGACGGGCCTTGGTCTTGGGTCGCTCCTGGGGGTGATGTCTTCGCCGTTCCCGATGAGCTTCGCTCCCAGGCTTATATGACGTCGGATTTTAAAAAGGAAGTGGACCGTAGCATTGAGGCACGTTTATGGTCTGCTGCCGCCGAGTTCCGCAATGGAGGGGGTCTTGCATCAGGCGTCGACCTCACGATTGCTTGGCGGCACCTTGCGTCCTTGCGTAGGAAGTCGCCTCAGAAGGCTGGCTTGCTTAGGGCTGTCCTTACTGGGGCCGTTTGGACGAGGGGCCGTATTCAGGCCTCTGGGGGAGAGTGTGAGCTCACCTGTCCCCGTTGCAACTCGGCCCCCGAAACGGACGTCCATCGGTTCTGGGAATGCCCGTGCAACAGTGAATTTCAGAAAGTGGACGATGGGTTCGCGCGTAAGGCCGCCTCTGTGGCTGCCGAACTCCCATGTTTCTGGCTTCGCGGTCTCGTGCCCCGTGAGTGGACGTCCGTCCCTCCGCCTCCCGACGACCCCATCCTCTGTGCCGCTGGTGTGTTTCCTGGGCCTCGGGGGGGAACTCGCATCTGGGGCGCGGGGGATGCGAGTGGTGGGGAGTTCACGAAGGATAAGCGTCTCAGGCGGGTGTCATGGGGCGTCGCGGTTTTTGGCCATGATGTTTTAACCCTGCCCCCACAGGTGTCGGAAGCCGACATTCAGTTTCTCCAAGGGGGCGGGATCTCTGGCAAGCAGTCTGTGAATCGTGGTGAGCTCTGGGCCCTTTTGGCGTTTTTGGAAGGAGCTCACCCCCAGGCGTGTCTTGGATACGTCGCGGACTCGGCCTACGTTGCGAGGGGATTTGCTCGCATCCAGGCTGGCCTTTTGCAGCGAATTCAGACCCATGTTGATCTCTGGAGGCGTGTCCTGAGCGCTCTGGACCGTCTTGGGGATGTGGTTCTCGTTCAGATTCCGAGTCACCTCAAGGTTGAGGAGGCCGTGCGCCGTGGATTAAACCCTGGCGTCGTGCTGGCGAATGCGGTGGCCGATGAGGTTGCGAGCCACTTCGCCCAGCAGGTTCAGGTCCCATATGCTGTCTCGGCTCCCGTCAGGTTCGCTGATGGGTTAGCTCGGAAGGTGCAGAATCATTTGCTTGCTGTGATGTCAGATGTTTTGGAGCGTGAGGGCGGACGCCCTCCCCGACCCCCTAAGGAGAAGGTTCGGAGAACGGCCCGCCAGCTCCTTCGCGCTGCGGCGGTGAGGTCCTCTCATAAATGCCCCATGCTTTGTGGGGACTTCGCCCAGTGCCAGAGGTGCGGTTGCTCTTCAACCGCCCGTGACCTGACATCGTTTTTGAATTCGCAGTGTACCCCTATGGAATGGTCTGGCGCGGTCTTTCGACCGACGGCTGCTGTGTGTGTTCGTAGTCGGCTTGTGGACCCTTCCCATGCCTTGGCGTTTTGGCCCGAGGCGAATGTGCTGTGGTGTATGACTTGTGGGGCTTATTCGACCCAGCACTTGAGGGACCTGGGTAAGGTCTGCTCGGGCCGCCTCGAGAAGGCGGGGGCCCAAAACCTTTCCAGGATCGCCCAGGGCAAGGCCCCTGGGAGTTTGGTTTGGGGGAAGGAGCGGAGGGGGAGGGCTAGCGCGAGAGGTGGGGAGGGAGAGAGAGAGAGAGAGAGAGAGAGAGAGAGAGAGAGAGAGAGAGAGAGAGAGAGAGAGAGAGAGAGAGAGAGAGAGAGAGAGAGAGAGAGAGAGAGAGAGAGAGAGAGAGAGAGAGCGGCGAGTGCGGCCCCGCGTGCTCGGCGCGCGGCGCCGTTCGGGTCTGCCGCGGTCGCGGCCGACTTCAACGCGGCCGTGGCCGCCATCAGGCGCCGCCCCGCCTCTCTCCCCCCCGCCCGCGCGCCCTCCTCCGCCTCCTCTGGTCCCCCCGCCAACCTCGGTGGCATAGGCTGCCATTGAGGTTGGCCCTTTTCCCTTGTCCTTGATCATCATGATCGCTCGCTATATATATCCTCTCCTTCCTCCTCCTCCTCCTCCTCCTCCTCCTCCTCCTCCTCCTCCTCCTCCTTCTCCTCCTCGTCATCCTCCTGCACCTCTGTCTCGGCCGAGGATTCTCACGAGGCCCAGGGGGGGGACTCCACTCGCAGGACCCTCACGAGCAAGCACTCCGTCGGGTGCAGGATCTAGTGCTGAAGGTTGCGAGGTGTTATGCACAGGTGGGGCCCCGCCACGCACCACGGCGGCGGCCCCAGGGTGCTACTGAAGGACGTTCACCCAGACCCCCGACGTCATGATTTTTCATGACGTCGACTCCCAGAGGACTGGACCCCTTTCTCAGGATTGGCTTTTCATCCTGAGTCGTTTTTGTTAACGGTCCCGAGGCCCGGGACGGCCCCCCGGCGGCCGAAATCGGAAGCGTTGAGACGGGGGTCAATGCAAACGGGGGGTCAGCCAGAGCGCCCGATCTTACAGGATCCTGCAGGGCCAGGGTCGCATTGACCCGGGCTTGCGTGCAGGATCCTGCAGATTCTTGCAGGATCCTTCGAATTGACCCGGGCTTGGGTGCAGGATCTCGCAGGATTCGGCGAGGCAAGGCCTCACTACAACCCGGGTCTGTATGAACCCGGGTCAGAAGATCCCGACGAACACAGCGAAAAGAAACCTCCCGCCGTGACTTTTTCACAGCGCGAGAGGGTCTGGGTACGTTGGTTGCGCTGGACTGGAGCGGTCCTCGAGACCTTCTGGGCCCCCGCCGCACCGCGGGCAAAAGGGGCACCTTTGGCAGCCACCGAGGCCGACGAGAGAGCGCGAATGCCTCGAGCCGCAGGAGGGGCTCATCGCTGTTAGCCCAGTGTGTGCGTGTGCGTCTGCGTCTGCGTCTGCGTCTGCGTCTGCGTCTGCGTCTGCGTGTGCGTGTGCGTGTGCGTGTGTGTGTCTGTGTTTGTGTGTGTGCTTGCGCTTGTGCTTGCGCGTGTGCGTGTGCGTGTGCGCGTGTGTGTGTGTGTGTGTGTTTGCCCAGTTCGGCTCCGACGATTCGAAGGAGACAAATCGCCATAAACATAAGCTTTTGGCGCTCCGCGCGGATTGCTTGGATCCGCGCTTCGGCCCCCTGGCGGCGCCTACGGCGCCGCCCCTGGCGCGCTCCGCGCGCCAGGGATGGGGTTCTAGCCCAGATCCAAGACCTCCAAGTTTAATGTTCGTGCTGACGATGGCACGCAGATTGTGTCGGCCCTCATTGCACCTCTTGCGTCGTGTTGAGGGGCCTCCGTGGACAACACACACGTTGGCGCCAACACACCTTCTGAGGATCATCGGCTCAGACAGCGTCGGGGCGGCGGTTTTCCGCCCCGGGTCAGGTCGGACATGTCACCTTACAGGCGGATTTGGGGCAGAAAATTTTACATACCCCAAACAAATTTAGATATATATAAATATTTCCCAATCGGAGCTTGCCTCTGTAAGGGTCCTAGCGGAGTCATATGGGTAGGTGAGGTGGGGCGCCGATTTGGTGGCCGGTGGCCGGGTGCCCGGGTGCCCAGGTGCCCGGGTGCTCGTGAGTGCCCGGTGCCCCAGGATTTCGGTGGCGGGTGCCCGGGTGCTCGGGGGGGGCCCGGAGGTGCCCAGGGGTGCCCAGGCGCTTTATATACAGCCATGTAGCCCTGTAGTTCTATAGCTCTATAGCCCAGTAGCCCAATAGCCTATATCATATGGCCTTATAGCCCAATAGCCCTATAGTTCTATAGCCTCTAAAGCCCAATAGCCCTATAGCACTATACTCCCATAGCCATATAGCCCCATAGTCCTATAGCCCTGTAGTCCTGTAGTCCTATAGCCCCATAGCCCCAACAAACACCTGATTGGGTTTTTTTCTGGTATCATACATTAAACGTCGTCCATCGAGCGGCAGTACATAGTATGGTGCGAGAGACCTGCCCCCAGAACAAGAGGCCGCGGGCCCTTCGGGGGCCCCGCACGTTGGGAGAAGTCGAGGCGCCGGAGGTCTGTCAGATATGGCCAGGGCCCGGGTAAGGGGGCCCGGTTCGTAGTAGGGCCCCGGAGCCCCTACTCCAAATCCCTTATTGATCGTCTCCCGGGTCCGGTTTTTAAGGCGCTTTTTTTGTGACTGGGGGGGTCCGGGTGATTGGGGCGCTTTCCTTGGATTGGAGGTTAGGGGGTCTGGCTTATTAAGGCGCCCCGTCGAAGAAGGGGGTCCGGATCATTAGGTCGCATTTGGAGGGGGGGTCCGGTTTTTTAGGGGGGAGTCGACTAATAAGAGACTTGGAGTAAATCGGCCAGAGTCACTAAATCAGGCCTTCCGTAGTTGGTGCTTTTTCGGGTGACGGCAATTTTGGTTAGTGGAACGGGGCGGGGGTTGCGCCCCCCAGTACGCACATCACCAAACCAGGTCCCACTAAGCTCAGTTCTGCCAACGCCCGAGTCTGGGCGGGGATCTCAGCCTGGGCCGGTCCCTGCCGAAGAGCGCCCTGCTCTCGCACGCTGGAGGTCCCCTCCCTCGCCCTGCCCCGCAGTGCGCGCCGCCGAGGTGCGGCGATGGCGAGCAGGAGCCGGTCCTCTGCCGAGGGGCCATGCGCGTGCAGCGGAAGGGCAGGGCGGTTGAGAGGTACTTCGTGCTGCTCCCGACCAGGCTGGACTACTACAGCGAGGCCTCGGACCTGCAGCTGGGGAAGGACGTCCGGGGCTGCATCCACGCCCGCGACGTGGTCCAGATCGAGGACGTCCCAGGAGGCCTCTCGCTGCACCTGGAGAGCCACCAGGACAGGCCCGGAGATCCGACGTCGTGATTCTCAAGGTGGTAAGGGTACCCACAGGCCGAAAATTGTGAACAAACCTCCCGACGTGTCACTCGAGGTGGTCTGGGATCCGATCGATCTGGTTCGGTGTCGATTCTGGCTCGCTCGGTCCGCTTCCGTTCCGAGGCTCTGGCGACCCGTGGCTCGCGCCCGTCCCTAGACCCCATCTCGACCCGGTGCCCATGTGACCCGATCCGACGGCCGCCCCGAGTCGGAGCTCTCGATTTCCGAGGAGGAGGAGGAGGAGGAGGAGGAGGAGGAGGAGGAGGAGGAGGAGGGGGAGGAGGAGCGAGGAGCGAGGAGCGAGGAGCGAGGAGCGAGGAGGAAGGCGGAGGAGGAGGAGGAGGAGGAGGAGAGGAGGGGAGGACGAGGAGGAGGAGGAGGAGGGAGGAGGAGGGAGGAGGAGAAAGAGGAGGAGGAGGAGGTGGAGGAGGAGGACGAGGAGGAGGAGGAGGAGGAGGCGGAGGAGGAGGGGGAGGAGGAGCAGGAGGAGGAGGAGGAGGAGGAGGAGGAGGAGAAGGAGGAGGAGGAGCGAGGAGGAGGAGTTGCGAGGGGGGACGCGTCGGGCAGGCCTAGGATTGGGAGAGAGGTCGCGCTCTCTCGGAGCGTCCTGGAGCGGCCGCGGTTCCCGCTGTGTCCTCCATGACCCAGACCCCCTCGCGGTGCGAAATCAACACGATTGGAGTTTTTCCCTACCCAGGCTCTGCCTAGAAGGGTTCTTACTCTCTTAGCTTAAAGGGGCCGGGCAGTGTAAAGCGCCCCGGGCGGTTCCCCCAGTCCCCGCCCCGCGGTTCCCCCCAGTTCCCTGGGAGCTTTAGCTTTAGCTTTAGCTTTAGCTTTAGCTTTAGCTTAGCTTTAGCTTAGCTGTAGCTTAGCTGTAGCTTAGCTTTAGCTTAGCGTTTAGCTTAGCTTTAGCTTAGCTTTAGCTTAGTTTTAGCTTAGCTGTAGCTTAGCTTTAGCTTAGCTGTAGCTTAGCTTTAGCTTAGCTGTAGCGTAGATTTAGCTTAGCTTTAGCTTAGCTTTAGCTTAGCTGTAGCTCAGCTTTAGCTGAGCTGTTGCTCAGCTTTAGATTAGCTTTAGCTTAGCTTTAGCTTAGATTTAGCTTAGCTTGAGCTTAGCTGTGGCTTAGCTTTAGCTTAGCTTTAGCTTAGCTTTAGCTTAGCGTTACTGTTACTACTAATGCTGCTTTCCTAGGGGTTCCAACTCCTAGGTAGGGTCGCACTGGGATAATTGTTCCGTGCTCCAAATCCCTTATTAATCGACCCCCCCCCCCCTAAAAAAACGGACCCCCCTCCAAATGCGACCTAATGTTCCGGACCCCCTTCTTCGACGGGGCGCCTTAAGAAGCTGGACCCCCTACCAATCTAAAGAAAGCGCCCTAATAACCCGGACCCCCCCAGTTACAAAAAAGGCGCCTTAAAAAATTGGACCCGGGGGACGAGCAATAAGGAATTTGGAGTGTGTGGCGTTCCGAAACAAGGCCTTGCCTTCGGGGATCGAAGGAGTTGTCATCTCTTCCGCGGTCGGTAGGTCGGCGGAAGCAAAACGAGGCCGCCTCCGCCGCGGAAGCTGGCGGAAGCTCGGCAGAGGGTAGCGAAAATTAGAAAGGCGCCCCCCGAGAGATGAAAGCGTTTTTGGGTTCAGGGGGTCCGAGATCGCCCATAGGTTCGGCCTCTGCGGGGGCTCTTCCCGGGGCTCTGGATCGTCACACACGACTCGCGGGATGATGGAAAGCTGGTCCCGGGGAAAGGAACCAGACCTTTTGGGGTCGACGTGATGAAACAATCATGACGTCGGGGGTCTGGGTTCGATGCTGACTGACCCTGCCAGGACCCTATCGGCCTGTACGTGGACTCTCCGGCCGAGCGGAGCACGTGGCTGCCGGCGCTCCGCGGCTGGGCGCGCCAGGCCGCCGACGCCGACGACGCCGCGGCGCCGGAGCCGAGCGCGGAGCGCGCCCGCGCGGGCGGCGGCGCTTCGCGGGGCTCCATACTGCCGGGGCCGTCGAGGCCGAAGAGCCGCGGGTCCTTCATCACCGAGCCTGCGGACGAGCCGGCCGGGGCGCCGCCCGCGGAGGCGCGGCCGCAGGCCGTGCCAGAGGGACCCGCGGAGGTGCCGAGGGGCGGCGGCAGCGCGGCGGCGGCGCCCCCGGAGGCCGCCGAGGCGCGGCTGTGCCGGGGCGACTTCGTGGTGCAGAGGGACGGCGAGACCAACATGGAGCCACGCGGGCGGCCTGCTTCATGGGCCTGTTTTCGACCACCACCACCACCAGAAGTTGGAGGGGGGAAGGAGGAGGAGGAGGAGGAGGAGGAGGAGGAGGAGGAGGAGGAGGAGGAGGACCCCCTCCCCCTCCAGCTTCTGGTGGTGGTGGTGGAAAACAGGCCCATCACTGCTGTCGTCCTCCCGCCCTCCCTGCCCCCCCCTCTCTCGCGCTCGTGGGCTCCGCGCTGCCCTGCCCGCTTCTGTCCCTTGCCTCGCCCGCGCTTCGTGGTCTGCCCGCCCCGCGGTCCAAAGAAGTGCTGCGGGGGCCCGCGCTGCCACGCTGGCGAGCACAGTGGAGGCCCATGCCAAGAAACACGCGGCTTGCCTCCAGGGTGCCCTGGGTTTCCAGGGTTTCGACGGTCTTGCCATGGAGAGCGTGACGTTCCCGCACCAAACATCCATGGACGTCTTGCTGGGGTCTCAGGGCTGGGTTTCTTGTGGGAGGTTTTTCTTTCGTGGACTGGCCTCCACTGTAGCTGGGCGTGACGCTCGCTTTCCTGCATCGCGCCCCCTGCGCAGCGGGAGAGGCGCGGCGAGGGGGGGACGCATCGGGCAGGCCCAGGCTCGGGCGAGATAAGTCGCTCCCCGAGCGTGCCGGAAAGCTCTTCAGAACGTCCTCTGGAGCGGCCGCAGCGCCCGCTGCGTCCTCCAGACCCAGGCCCCCTTGCACCGCGACAAAAATCACGGCCCGAGGTTTTCTTCACAAATGTCAGGCCTCTGGGGGCCCTTGTCGGGCCTCGGGACCGTCAACAACACGACTCAGGATGAAAAATCGGTCCCGGGGACTGGGTCCAGACCTCTGGGGGTCGGCGTCGTGGGCCTGGGGAGCCGACGGCTCTCGGAGATTTGTTCGGGTCCGGTATTGCCCCTGTCTTGGCTAATGCTTCAGGTACAAAAAAAGATCAGGAGGGAAAAAACACACAAACACAATTAGTCGCCGATCCCCCAGAAAATATGGGAAGAGGGGGGCAAGACAAAAATCCAGAAAATATGGGGAATCTTTTTATTTGTATGTATTTATTTGTGTGTCCCAGGGCCCCTTCAGAGGAGCCTCACTGTCACGCCGCCGCCGGGAGCGGCCGCGTCCTCTCGGGCAAGGGCTGCAGGCTTCGCACGGAGAGCCCTCAAGGTAGTCTTAAGTCGGGCGTGTCCCCCTACAGGGGGAGTATTCAAAAATAGTCTAAAATTAGTCTGGGGACTATTTGTTGAGTATTGTTTGACCATTCTGGAGTATTTCTGTTTTTTTATGTTTCGTCGAAAATCCCCCTGTAGGGGGACACGCCCCACTTATAGTTAGTCCCAGCTTGCTTCAACAGGCCCCCCTGACTAGTCTGGGGCGGTCTCACTCTGAAGTAGTGGCGAAGCGTCCTGGCGTGCCCATAGGCCCACCAAACAATGTTCTAAGAACATGTGAGGTTTCCTCGACATGTTATTCGAACCTTTCTGGCTGGACTGTTTTTTAACTCATTGGGCTCATGTTCTAAGAATCTTGTTATGTTTTTAGAGCATGTTGGGGGTTTAAGAACATTCCGTGGTAGGCCTATAGATGCCAGGACCGTCGGTCCCTGCTCAATCCCCCCCGTGCACCTCGGGAGGCGACCCTCTGGGGCGCTCCGCGCCCCAGGGTTGGCGTGCTGAGACTGCAATGGGCTACTCGGGGGGCCTGCTGGGGCAAGCTGGGACTACAGCCGGCCCGCACAGGAAGGATGGGCAGCCCTCCCAAGGGTACCCTTGCATCCTTGCCCCTTCGGCCCATCCTTGGCCGCGTCCGCCGGCCACGCCCCGGCTCGCAGAGTGTCGGCATGGCCTTCCAAGGCCCTTTGTACATCCTTGCCGCGCATCCTTACTATACGGGCAGACTGTATCCGCGGGGCCTGTTGACGCCAGCCGTGACTGCCTGGGGTGATGGGCTTGTTTTCCACCACCATCACCATAAGTTGGGGGGGAACGGGGTGCTGTTCCCGCAGCTGATCCCGCACACGGACACGGTGCAGCACCAACTCTGCGCGCAGCGGGACCGCGCCGCCACGACGCTAGCGTGCATCGGCGCTTCGAAGAGCTTCAACTGCCACGAGGAGATGGAGAGAGCACACGCCACGGTGTTGCTCAAGATGCAGATCGAGGAGCTGACCGCAGCGATCGAAAAGTGCAGGTAGGTAGGCGCCTAGCTTCAGGACGGGAGCCGCCTGTACAAGTGGCCGTACCCGTGGAAGTACGACTACACGCGCCTCCAGTGCGTCGAGCTGGAGGGCTTCTACAGCAAGTGGACGCACAGCACCAACGGGTGGGGCTACGACGAGGTCGTGAAGGAGGGAACGCCCATGCAGGGCGCGTAGGGCAGCTTGGCGGCGGCGACCATCAACACCCAGCGCCCGCCGTGCAAGTACCCGAGCGCAGCAGTGTCAGGGTGGACGACCTACGGCGTGGCGATCAAGTCGCAGGAGGCGGCTCAGCCGCCACAGCAGCAGACCAGGAGCCACACGGCGCAGCAGCCCAGCAGCGAGATCAGGACGCACGACGAGAGTGCCGCGCGCGCCGCGGGGTGGGGCGCTTGCCTCGGCTTGAGCAGCATGAGCTGAGCGCGCCCGTTCTAGCTGCCGCCAGCCTTGCCATAGCCAGCGCCGCCTCTCGCAGCCAGCCAGCAGCTTTCTTTGATCGCCCATCGGATGCGAGTCGCCCAGCTACACCTCGCCTTTCTAGCGACAGCCAGCGCGGCGCTGCCCATCCATATCAGTAGCGCAGCGACGAAGCGCCGAGCTTAGCGACAACAGCGTACCGCAGAGCAGCGCGAAGCCCACTGCCTGCCAGCACCCGCCTGCAGGACGAGGAGGCGGGGGGTGAACTGGAGGGGGGAGTAGTGGTGAGTGGGTGGGGGAGTCGAGGTCCTCAGCAGGGGCCGCCCCGCTCCCGAGAAGCGGGTGCAGCCTCTGCCCATATTTCTGTTTCTCCTTGCACTCGAGAGCGGGGTCTCCCGCTAGAGGGGCACGAGGACCACCCTCCACCGCGAGGGGGCATCGACGCCCCAGGCAGCTCCCTGGCCAGCAGGGTTTACGGGGCTCGCATCCATATGCTACCCTACGGGCCCCTTTCGAGGCGCAGGGCCCCAGCAGGGGCACTCGAAGACCTGGGCCCCCCACGGGCTTTTACTTTTTTGTTTACCTCCTCCTCCTCCTCCTCCTTTTCCCCCTCCCCCTCTCCGTCCTCCTCCTCGTCCTCCTCCTCCTCCTCCTCCTCCTCCTCCTCCTCCTCCTCCTCCTCCTCCTCCTCCTCTTCCTCCCCCCTCTCCAGCCTATGGTGGTCACGGTGGAAAACAGGCCTATCATGGGCTGCTCCTCCTCGCGCAGCCCGAAGCCGTGCCATGATGGACAGAAAAGGAGTGCCAATGGCTCGCCGCCGCTCGGCGCCCGTCGGCGTGCCGCTCCCTGGTTTTGGTACGGAGGCCTGGTGTTTCTTCAACAGCAGCGCGGTGAACCCGCACAGGAAGGATGGGCAACCTTCCCAAGGCCACCCTTGCATCCCCAGAGATCCAACGTATGGAAGAAATCAAGACGGAGGTTGTTCGCAATTTTCGGCCTCCGGGGGCCTTCGCTGGGCTTCTGGAGCGTCGAGCAACGACTCAGGATGGGGTCGACGTCATGAACAAATCATGACGTCGGGGGTCTGGGACAGCAGCACAGGGAACCCGCACAGGAAGGATGGGCAACCTTCCGAAGGGCACCCTTGCAGCCTTGCCTCCTCGGCCCCTCCTTGGCCACTTTCGGTGGCCGCGCCGCGTTCGAGAAACTCTGACGTGCCCCCCCCCAGGCCCTGGCATCCTTACCACGCATATCCTTATGATACGGGTCGACTGTACGCTGATGGGTTCCCATGATGGCGTGCCATGGATACTGGTCTGCGCCCGCATTTGTGCACCCTCCGCCCCCTCGAAGAAGAAAGAACTGCGTATAACCGCAAACTCCGTGGGGGTCCGCGCGGATTTTTCGGATTCGCAGTGGACCTCCTTCCCTGGCGCGCGAAGCGCACCAAGGACGGCGCTGGAGGCGCTGCAAGGGGCAATATTCAGCGACGGTCCGAGGAATTCCGCGCGGACCTTCGGAATTGGATGATTATGCAGTTAATCGTTGTTCTCATCATTTCCCGTTGTCATCCCTGGCCTTCCTTTGTCTCATCCGTCTCCTCCCTCTCTGGCTTGGAGATGCCTGGGTACTTCTCCAGACCTCTCTCTCTCTCTCTCTTTTTTTTTTTTTTTTTTTTTTTTTCTTTTTTTCTCTCTCTCTCTCTCTCTCTCTCTCTCTCTCTCTCTCTCTCTCTCTCTCTCTCTCTCTCTCTTTCTCTCCTTAGCAGTCGCTGTCCCCACGCGGGCCTTTGCCAGAGACGCTGCCTGTAAGCTGCAATATGGGAGTCTCTCTCTCTCTCTCTCTCTTAGCGGTCGCTGTGCCCACGCGGGCCTCTGCCAGAGACGCTGCCTGTAAGCTGCACGCTGGGAGGCATGTCTTTCTCCCTCTCTTAGCGGTCGCTGTTCCCACGGGGGCCCCTTTAGGTAACGGCGATGTAGGTTTCGGTATTGTGGGAGGCGTGGCTCGCGCGTTCCTACAGTTCGCTGTGTCGTTGCTGTTCGGTACGTTCGCAGGTGGGAAATGTAGGAACGTGTGGTGCGTGATTTCCTGCGCTGTGGTTCCGAACATTACATTACCGTTCAGCAGCATCGCCGTTAGCGTGGCCTTGCGGAGATCTGGGCGGTGACGCCTGTGCTCCCGGTGCGGCGGGGGCTCAAGAGAGGCCCCAGGGCGGGCCCGCAGATCCAGGCGTCGCGAGAGCGCCGCCGTCCATTCTGCCGCAGGAAGTTGCCGAAGCTCGGGCCCCAGGACCCTCGCGTTAAGTCGGGCCTGTCCCTCTACAGGAGGAGTATTCAAAAATAGTAAGATAGTCTCGGGACTATTTTTTTACCAATTGTGACACTTTTGAAATATGTTTGGGTTACTTTGCATTTTTCGTCCACAGCCCTCCTGTAGGGGGACATGCCCAACTCAACCCTCGCGCTATAGTCCGGCTCGAGAGGCCACGCGCACGCAGAGGAGGTCTACGTTCCTGGTCCCCTTCGCCTCACGACGTCGACGTCTGTCCGCGACGTCGGATGCCAGGGCCAGGCGGACGGAGGCAGGGTGGGCGACGAGAGAGATCAACGCGCGCTGGCGATGCCAGGTCCGTGCGCTCCGCCCTGTGCCGGTGCCTCCGCGGAGCTCTTCCTTCAGGATCGGAGGCTGCCAGAAGGGTTCGTTGGACAAGGTTAATTTCGCTGGACCTGAGGCCCCCCCAGCCCGACCTTCGGCACTCCAGCACGAGCTGAGGCGCGCCAGCAGCCGTCGAAATCAGCACTCTTGAGCCATACCTCCTCGCCGCCCCCGATTCAGGAGCACGTGGCGCTGTACGAGGGCCGCCTGGCCTTCTTCGGCGCCCAGGCCGAGCTGGAGCGCGGGGAGCGGCCGAGGCTCGAGGTCCCCATGTCGGACGTGATGGACGTGGAGGTCCTCGACACGGGCTTCGACATCGTCGCGCGGGGCGCCGGGGGCATCAACCTGTACGGCTGCTCGGGCACGGACCTGCAGGAGCGAGCCTTCTCATGGCGCCAACCTCGCAGAGCGGATTTTATTCGGAAAACGAAAGGATGGGCCCGGAGTGTCCCAGAGAATTTCGTTCCGGCTTTCGAGGTGAATTCCGTGGGGATTTTCTTGGGCCGGGAATGAAGACAACAAACAAATCCACGCGAAATTCACTTAGTTTTTCGCTCGGCGTTTCGGGGTTCTGCATTGACAGAAATCCACGCGAAAAATCCGCTGCAGCACGTCTGCAAGGTCGGTGCAATGAGATTTCCCCCTTGCGAGCCCGCCCAGGCCCCAGGGGTCCGCCCCAGCTGGCTGCCCAATCCGCACGGGCACAGAGTCCAACAGCAGTGCTTGTTCCTTCTGAGCAGGTTTCGTTCCAGGGATCAGGACGATCGAGCTGGGTATGGAACATATGGGTACAAGACCGACTGCATGTTCTGTTCATGTTGAACAGGACTCGGTGTCCACGCCTCCGTGGTCGCTGTCCATTTGAAACAGAAGGCCGCCTGCCCGACAGCGGCCGCTGTCGGTATTGGGCAACATGTGTGGTTGGACATCGCACCGTGGAGGCCCATGCCAAGAAACACCCTGGTCGCCTCCAGGGTGTCCTGGGCTTCTGGGGTCTCGGTGGCTTTGCCATGGAGAGCGTGGCTCTCCCTCGCCAACAACCAGTGGGCGTCCTGGGGACTCGGGGCTGGGTTTCCCGTGGGAGGTTTCTCTTGGTCGAGCCCCTGCTGTACCCGTGCTCTTCGTGCCAGCTCCGAGCGTCCACAGCCGCGCCCAGCCGTGGCGGCGGGAGCGCCCGGGAGCGCCCGGAGACGCCTCCCATCAGACGGCCCTCGCCCGCCGCCGCCGCTCTCAGCAGGGACCCTCGCCCGCCGCCCTCCGCCGATCCCTGGACATCACGCCTGCCTTCGTCCTGGCCAGGACGACCCTGGCCCCAGGATCGGAGCATGCAGTGGAGACCCATGCCAAGCAGCACTCCGCTTGCCTCCAGGGTGCCCCGGATTTCTTGGGTTCCGAGGGTTCTGCGATGAAGAGCGCGACGTTCCCACACCAAACAAGATCCCTGGACGTCCTGGGGTCTTAGGGTTTCTTGGTCGGGCCCCTAGTGTATCACACCTGCACTCGTCCTGACCAGGAAGACCCTGGCCCCAGGATCGGTGCATATGCCTGCCCAGCCGAGCCGTGAGGGCGTGCACACGCCAATCCTGGGCCCAGGGTGGGCGTGGCCAGGGCTGGCGTGTGCAGCTGGGTGCACCGCCCTTGTCCTCCGACGTCGCGTTTTTTTTACCTGACGCGAACACCCTGGGATCTCGACCACTTCCTCGGGCTGGTGCTGTTTTTGTTTGACGGTCCGGGGCTGGCAGGCGTCTCTATAGAGCCTGCAGACATCCCAAAAGGGGCCATCGTGACTTTTGGCTGCACCGCCTGGATTACCGGCGCGTTTGCAGTCTGTTCGCTGGCGCGCTGGCATCATCGTGCCCTCTGTTTTTTGCATGGCCTTCACTTCAACTAGTTTCTTGCCGATACGCCGTCTACAGTCGTGGCTTCGTGCAAGCGTGCGTGCCGCCTGGATTTCTAGGGGGCCACATGCGATCCCTCCCCCTCAGAAATCGTGGGGAGTAGGGGTAGGGATCGCATGTGGACCCCTAATCACAGCGTGCAGTTTTGCAGGCGGCGCCCGCAGGAGTGGACCGACAGGCTCACGGGCATCCTGAACGGCAGGTCGCCTTCCCCCTCCGAGGGGGAGCAGCGGAGACTGGCCGCGCCGGCACCCGCCCCCGCGCCGGCGCCGGGCGCGTGGAGCGCCGCGTCGTGGCGCAGCGCGAACCCGGAGGGGAACGCCGACGGAGACAGCAGGCCAGGAGGGTCGTAGAGAGTCCAGGAGGAGGAGGAGGAGGAGGAGGAGGAGGAGGAGGAGGAGGAGGAGGAGGAGGATGAGGAGGAGGAGGAGACGGAGGAGGAGACTTGCGGATTGCACAGCATGAAGGGTGGCTGACCCCATCTAATCAGAAGACCGACGTATTGAAAGGGTCTGCGTGTCTGTTGATATGAAGCAGAATTTAGTGGGTGCCCCCGAGGGCAGCATTTGTCCCATCAGGGAGGTCCCACCGGACTACAACGGGAAGGCGCGTACGGTTCTGATCAGCAAGCGGAGTGAGGGCGTCTCGCATGTGGATGCGGGTGCCAGGAAGAGGAGGAGGAATAGGAGGAGGAAGAGGAGGAGGAAGAGGGGGAGGAGGAGGAAGAGGAGGATCGAGGATCGAGGATCGCGGGGAACGCCGACGGAGACAGCAGGCCAGGAGGGTCGTTGAGAGTCCAGCCCGCCCAAACGAGGTCGCTGTAGGTGGGGTCGGTGGATCGCGCCGCATCGCCGACGCATCGGCGATGCGGCTTGATGGGGAGACCGATTTTTTCCACGCCGACGTCGCCGATGCGTCGGCGACGATGTGGCGCGATCCTGCGACCCCATCGGCTCGGACCCCATTTAGGCGGCCTCCAGGAGGTGAGGGTCGTGGATCGAAGAGGTCGCGCCGAAGCTCTGTTCTCGACTTGGGCATCTGGTGGGCTCCCAGCAGACCCCGTGGCCGCCGGAGGGCTGTCCGAGAGGGAAGATCGGCCAGGAGGATTTCTAGGAGGGGTGCGGGAACTGCTTTGGAGCGGCGTTCGGCTTGGAGGAGGATGACTCAGGATCCAGGATGCAGATGTCAGCGAAGCGCCTCCACAATGGGCAGCTCTGCTGGGCGTGGGCACGAGGCGGAGGCCGCTCGCACGAAAGGAGGAGGACGAGGTTGAGGAGGAGGAGGAGGAGGAGGATGAGGAAGGAGGACGAGGAGTAGGAGATTCTAGGTTCTAGATTCTATGAAGAGCTGGGACCAAGAGCAAGCTTGGGCGCATGAACACATTCAATCTCGTAGAGGGAAAAGGACATGCCCGACTTCGGGGCCTAACCCCGAGCGAGACGAGAGAGGGCCTCACGGCCCTTCGCCGAGGGGGGGAGCTTTGCATCCATCATCCCGCGCCCGGCACGCACGGTCAAACACCGAGCCTGCGCACACTGTCCACGCTGTACGCGCTACACCTCGTGCAACACAACACGCCCCGCAACACATCCAGCTCGTGACTCCTCGTGCACGAGAGGAACAAATCTCGGGTGCTCCGAGGGTCCCCGCAGCTCCGGCACCTCGTCGACGGCGAGGCGAGACTCAGCGCTCCGCCACCTCCTCCGGACGGTCCCGAGCCCACGCAATTTGGGCGAAGGAGGAGCTCAGAGGAGGAACAGATACCCATACCGCTACCCTCGCGCCGTTTTCCCTTTTTGGACCTCGGAGGCCCTCGTCGCCACCGCTGGATTCGCCTCGGCATTCTGGTCAGAACGCACCCCGGGAGAGGTCCGGGGAGTGGCGGTATCGGTACTTTCTGGGTTCTCCAGGTTCGAAAGGGGGGCACAGGGGCGTGGCACAAATTCGGAAAAAGCACCCGTCTTTGGAGAGGACTGTCTACACGTCTGACCTTTCAAGAGGGTGCTCCCACCACCGCACTATGGCCAGAAGGGATGAGACGCCGCTTGCGAGCCTCTCCAGAGGTAACCTCAGCCCGCTCCCGAGCCGCGGTCAATCCCTCTCTCGAGCTGGTGTCTCTTTCACAACTGAGAAAGACTTCTGGATGGCCAACAGTCGCAACACATGTTTCTTGCAAGCTGTCAGCACCTACTACCGTGGCAACATCCTCCGGGGAGAGCTTCCCCCTCTCTGCACCATCATTGGCGCACAAGTCAGCAGCAAGATCCAGAAGGAGCTCAACGCTCGAGGCGTGCAGGGTAACTGCCTGGGCCAGGGTTGCGTGGGCTTCGGTCCAGCGAAGGTCAGCGTGGCCTGATCGGGACTCAAAAGATCTCAAACCTGAGCCCAACATATCAAGCATCGTACTTGCTCTTGCTCCTGATCATCTGCTGCTTGGATTTCCGAAAGTTCCGAACGACAGGCAAATAATCGCCACAAATCAGGATGTTGCCCCTTTGTCTTCAAGAGGGCGGCCAGAAGGGCGTAGAGCTCAGCGCGCGGCGACCTCTGGTAGCCCGTGGGGAGGGTACCGAACATGCTGCCAGCGATATCCTCCTCATTCGGATGAATCATGACAGCTCCCCAACCACACCTTCTGAGCCTCCAATCCTTAGTCTCCTTGCCCCCCGTTCCATCGATCCCCCAGACACACCCTTGGATCATGCCGTCTTCCCCGAGGGCTCCAAAGGACCACTGGAGAGCCTGAGGGGCGGGAATACCATTCACAGCCTGCTCCGGAGCCAAAGGGAGTGGAGGCGATCGTGTTCTTCGATCTCCGTCAGGGCAAGATACGCAGTGGCCTGCACGGCCTGGCTATCCAGCTGGTCGTTGGTGCAACACTTCCAGAACCTGTGAAGAGGCGTCCCAGGCTCTTCTCCACACCTCGGGCAGAGCTGCGACGCACAGTATTCAGCCTCATAGAGCCGAGCCGCAGTCCAACATCTATTGATTGAGGTCGTCATCAAGATAGCTTGCGACTCGTAGTCCTGGGTCTGACCAAAGGTTTGCAGGAGACTTTGAGGGGTAGTGAAATCAACCCCCGCCTGGACCCGTCCCCCCAAATAATGGCTCGACGCCTTACTCCAGGCCCAATCAGCACAGGTCACCTGAAGGGACTTCCACATGTCGAAACGACAATGCAGGACAAATCCAAACTCATCAAGCCAAAGACATGGGAAGGCTGGGTCTCAATGTAAATCTAGCAGGACAGCGACGGTGGTAACGACGGGACCTTTCACTCTTCGCCACCGAAAGTTGGCGGGGATGTCTTGAAAACGGAGCAATTGTGGTCTTCCAGAACTGCGAGGCCATCATCTTCCCATGAGGGTGTAAAGCCAACCACATTTTATACAACGTGACCAAGAGGAGGAGGAGGAGGAGGAGGAGGAGGAGGAGGAGGAGGAGGAGGAGGAGGAGGAGGAGGAAGAGGAGGGAGGAGGAGGAGGACGAGGAGGAGGAGGACGAGGCGGAAGGAGGAGGTGGAGGAGGAGGACGAAGAAGAGGAAGAGGAGGATCATGAGGAGGATTGAGGATCGAGGATCGAGGGCTGTGAGGAACTTCGACGGGAGACTGCAGGTCCAGCGCCTGTCGTCGTCTGCCAGCTTCTCCTCTTCTCCCGTTCTTCCCTCGCGGGGCAGCGCAGGAAGCCGGGAGCTTGCTGCGCGGCCGCTTGCCATACAGTGAAAACCTAGGCGAAGGCACGCCCTGCTCGCCTCCAGGGTGCCTTGGGCTTCTTGCGTTTCGGTTGTCCTTCTGTGGAGAGCGTGACTTCCAGACAGAATCAATGGACTTCCTGGAGTCTCGGGGTTGGGTTTCTTGGGGAAGGTTTCTTGTTGTCGAGCTCCTACTGCAGAGGCTTTTGCCGTGGAGGCCTTCGGAGGGCCTGGCGTCGTGATCAACGAAGGTTGCGGGGGCACTCGCGCGCAGGTTGCCCGTGCAAGATCTGCGTTGTGCCGCCTCGGCGACCTGCGTAAGCCGTCGCGTAGGCTCGCCATGTGCTCGTGCGCACGCCTTTTCTATCGTCGTTCGAACGGGACCTCAAGAAGACGTAGGAGGGAGAGAGAAAGAGAGAGAGAGAGAGTGTGTGATCTATCTTTTGCCAGGCCCACTGCAAAGAGTGCGGGTACCCGTCAATTTGACGTTGCATTTGCAGGTTGATTTCTGGATTGTTCGCCTCTTTCGGCGCATGTTCCTTCCGAGCGGTAAACATACGTGACTCCGTCGGGGCACGCAACACCCAATGGGGACGGCATCCACAACCTGACGCAGCAAACACATCTGCGTGTACGCGAGTGTGGTGCTGAGTATGCGGCATTCGCAGGTCCGTCACACGGTCGCTGTATTGACTCGATTGTCAAATAGGTAGCCAGTGCCCAACCGATTGTGCAGACACCGCATTTTGAACCCGTCTATCTTATACCGCGTTCAGGTACGCTAGGAAACATCATCTTGAGCACATCCAGTTCGCCGGCGTCACTGGCTGCATACATACCAACCCTAGTGAGCGCAGGCAAGCTGGCGTGATCTAATTTCTGCACAGCGTGTTGAGATCTTCGCATCCCAGGCCAATCCTGCTGCTTCGTTTGCATCGCCTGATCACGAGGCTTCCAGGATGCTCCGAGGCATACCATGTTGTCCTCCTGGCGGATCTGCGTTCCCTCGGGCCTGCGGCTGTTCACGCCGCATCGAGCGTGCCTTCCTTCCAGCCCGGCCCGGTTGTAGGCCATACCGTAAGTCGGCGCTTGCCTCTTGAGTCGCTTGCATCCGAGCCGCCTCCACTATATCGATTGGGCTGACGAAGGACACAGAACGCAGTTGGAGCAGGAGAGGTAGAGGTAGGGAGGAGGACGGATGAGGTTTGAGCGAGGAAACGATGACGATGACGATGACGATGTTTTCCTCCGAGTGCTAAAGTGTGAACGCTTTGTGACCAAAAGGCTGGCTCGCACGTGACTCTGCTTTAGCCCGTGGGTAGCCTCGCTTGCTTGGCGCTTCCGAGGCATCGAGACTACGGAAAACATGAACGCACAGAGAGGAAGGACGGAGGAGGTTAAGAATAAGTAGGTCCTGTCCTTCTACAGGCAGATTTTGTTTAAAGTCAAATAATAATCTGGGGACGATTTTCCTAGCATGTTTTGTATTATGTTGCGGTATGTTTGAGTCTCTGTTATTTATCATTCAAGATCCGCCTCTAGGGGGACATGCCTGACCTAGAGTTAAGCGCGAGGAGGGAGGCCTGGACGGGGAGTTCCGCGAGGGGTTGGAGGCTCCCTGTTCGGCCATTGGGAGGGCCATTGTTTGCCACCCCTCACGAGGATCGTGTCCCCCGATGGGGTGGGACGGAGACAAAGGAACCCCCTCTTTTGATCGGTAGCCTCCAAGATGGCCCCAAGAGGACCTCCAGGGTTTCCAAGAGAGCCTCAAGAGGGCCCCTCACGAGCTCCAAGGGGGCCCAAGGGGGCTCCAAGACAGCGAGGAGGAGCGGCGGCCAGAAGCGGGGCAGAGCAGGAGCGGCCGCGGGGGGCGGCAGGCCGGGCACCCCGCACTTCGAGTCCGCGGAGTCGTGGCCAGCTCCCGCGGCCGCGCCAGAGGAGGGCTGGTATAGTGTTGAGTTCAGTCGGAGGTGAGGGGGTGAGATCGAAGTGGAACGGAGAGCCCCCCTACCGGGAAATCGATTTCGGTTTCGTGTTCGTGCGTGCGGTGCGTGCGGGCGAGGCGAAGCTGCGTGGGCGGGCGAGAGAAAGTCTCCTGTGGCTGAGGCGCGGCCGGACCAAATGATTCTCCACCGGGCGGCCGGTGGCCCGCGGTGTCCCGCCGGTGTCCCGCGAAAGTCCCGTGTGGCTGAGGCGCGGCCGGACCAAATGATTCCCTTCTGGGCGGCCAGTGGCCCGCGGTGTCCCGCCAGTGTCCCGCGGTGTCCCGCGGTGTCCCGCGGTGCCCCGCGGTGTCCCGCCGGTGTCCCGCGGTGTCCCGCGATGATGATGATGATGATGATGATGATGATGATGATGATGATGATGATGATGATGATGATGATGATGATGATGATGATGATGATGATGATGATGATGATGATGATGATGAGATGATGATGATGATGATGATGATGATGATGATGGTGATGCTGATGATGATGATGCTGCTGATGATGATGACGATGATGATGATGATGATGGTGATGCTGATGATGATGATGATCATGATATGATGATGATGATATGATGATGATGGTGCCCCGATGATGATGATGATGATGATGATGATGATGATGATGATGTCGATGATGATGATGATGATGATGATGATGATGATGATGATGACGATGATGATGATGATGATGATGATGATGATGATGGTGTCCCGATGATGAGGATGATGATGATCATGATGATTATGTTGATGATCATGATGATGACGATGATGGTGTCCCGATGATGATGAGTATGATGATGTTGATGTTGATGATGCTGATTATGATTGTGTCCCGATGATGATGATGTTGATGATGATGAGGTTGATGATGATTATGGCGTCCCGATGATGATGATTATTCTGATGGTGATGGTGATGATGTTGATGATGATGGCGTCCCGATGGTGATGATGATGATTATTCTGATGTCGATGCTGATGTTGGTAATGATGATGATGATGATGATGGTGCCCCGATGATGACGATGATGATGATGATGCTGATGATGATGTTGATGATGCTGATGCTGATGATGTCGATGATGAGGATGAGATGATGATGATGGTGTCCCGATGATGATGATGATGATGATGATGATGATGATGATGATGATGATAACAATGGTGATTATGATGGTGTCCCGATGATGATGCTGCTGATGATGATGATGATGATGACGATCACTGTGTCCCGATGCTGCTGATGATGATGATGCTTGTGATGATGGAGATAATGATGATGATGGTGGTGTCCCGATGATGTTGATGACCGTGATGATGATGCTGATGTTAGTGTTGATGATGAGGACGGTGTCCCGATTATGATGATGTTGGTGATGATGATGTTGATGTTGATGTTGTTGTTGTTGATGATGATGATGACGTTGATTGTGAGAGCGGTTGTGATATCGATAGTGAGATCGATAGTGAGACCGAATGTGATATCGATTGTGAGATCGATTGTGAGATCGATAGTCAGATCAATTGTGAGATAGATCGAGTGAGATCGATTGTGAGATCGATCGAGGGAGATCGATCGAGCGAGACCGATACTGAGATCGATAGTGAGATCGATAGTGAGACCGATCGAGTGAGACGTTGGTTCCCCCCCCCGAACCTCCTTATCACCCGAAGGGTGGTCGTATAGGTATCGTATAAACGATTCCCGTCCCCATCCTCATCCCCTTCAAGACCCCCACCAAATTACCACCCAAGTTGGGGATACACCCCTCGAAATCCGAAGAGAACGACCTATATCCCCATCTAGGGGAGTAAATCGGCCAGTGGGGCCCAGGCCACGCTACTTGGGATGGGGATCGGTTGAACGATGCTCATAAGTCGGGCATGCCCCTCTACAGGAGGAATATCCAAAAATATGTTTAAAAAATGTCAGGAGACGACATTCTGAGTATCTTTGAGCATTTTCGGGGTACTCTTTGACCATGTTTTATTGTTCGTCCAGGATCCGCCTGTAGGGGGACACGCCCGAACTAAATATAGTGGAAACCTATGCCAAGAAACACCCTGCTTGCCTCCAGGGTGCCCTGGGTTTCTTGCGGCTTCGATGGTTTCGCCTTGGGGAGCGTCACGTTCCCACACCAGACATCAGAGGGCGTCCTGGGGTTTCGGGGTGGGGTCTCTTGTGGAAGGTGTCTTGTGGTCGGGCTCCTGCTGTGCGCGTAAGGGCGACCTTTCGCCGAAGGAAGCTTTGGTGCGCAGTTTCCGGGCGGCACCGCAGCACAAACGCCAAAAAGCATGCAGGCCGCTGCTGCCGCATCGAACGTCGTCATCGGCAAGCCGCGCCCCGAAGGCCACGCCAGGGTCACTCCCCTGAGACCCGACCAGCGTCGCGAGAAATCACGGCCAGAGCCCAAGACCTTTAGACCCCATCTTCCTGCGCCACTGTTGGAGTCAGATCGATCTGCGATGGCCGCGGGCCCGAGACTGGACGGACTAACGCCCGTCGTGAAGACAACTGCAACCCCCGGATCTCAGGATTCACAACCCACCAAGCCACCCCAACCCAACCCGAAGGCCCGAAGTTGCCCTCCATCCTCAGTGAGGGGGCATCCTGGGACGTCGAAACAACACGCATGTGGAACCCGTATATGCCCCCCCCACCCGAAAGTTGGGACTTCGCCAGACCCCCGACGTCATGATTTTTTCATGACGTCGACCCCCAGAGGTTTCGATCTATTCCCCGGGCCCGGTCTTTCATCCTGAGCCGTTTTTTGACGGTCCCGAGGCCCGGTAGGGGCCCCCGCAGGCAGAACATGGTGGAACACCTCCCGCCGTGCTTTTCCACTGCTCGGGGGGGGTCTGGGCTTGGGGGTGGCCTGGCCGGAGACCCGAGGGCCCTGCGTGCACCGCCGAGGAGGCGGCGGCGCCCGCGGCGCGGCGGCTGCCGTGGGCGTCCCCGCCGGGCGGCGCCCGAGAGCCGGGCGACTGCCAGGCCGCGCCCGCGCGGGGCAGGCTGGCCGAGGCGGCGGCGGCCCCGGCGTCGGCGTCGTCCACGCCGCGGTCGCGCGCGGCGCCGCGGCGGTCGCTGACGCCGACGGGCATCCCGAGGCCGAGCGGGCGGAGGTCCGCCTCGGGCACGCCCAGGAGCACGTCGGCCGCGTGCAGGCCCAGAGATCCAACCTTGGTTGCCTCGATGCGCCCGTTTTGAGACGCAATGCGTCCCGTGTTCAAGACGTCCGTGTCAATACGTTGCGTGTTGGCTCCACGTATTGGGCCACGTTTTGGCGAATGTATCGCGTCGGACCTACGTTTTCAGCCTACGTGTTGAGCTCCGTATCGATACGCTACGTGTTGCGTGTTGCGTATCGGGGCAACTTCGGATCCAACGCATCGAAACAATCACGACGGAGGTGTTTCGCCAAGATCGGCCTGCAGAGGCCCTTGCCAGGCCCCCGAGACCGTCAACAAAACGACACAGGATGGAAACCCGGTCCCGGGGAATGGGTCAAGATTTCCGGGGGAGCCCAGGAGCTCGTCGGCTACGTGCATCTAGGCCTCCCAGATGGGATCGGAGTAGGTGGAGTCGGAGGATCGTGCCGCATCGCCGATGCATCGCCGATGCGGCTCGATGCGGAGCCGGATTTGCTTCACGTTGACGTCGCCGATGTGTCGCCGACGTCGCCGGTGCATCGCCGGTGCATCGCCGGTGCATCGCCGATGCATCGCCGATGCATCGCCGATGCATCGGCGATGCATTGGCGATGTGGCGCGATCCTTCGACCCCATCTACTCGGACCCCATCTAGGAGGTCTCTAGTATAGAGGTGGTCATGGGGGAGGGGGGGAAGGTTTCTTGGAAGGAGGCTGCTGCTTCTTGGATGGCGCGGGGCTGGTCTACAGGCGCAGGGCCGGCGCCTTCTAAGGAGCAGCCTCCTTCCAAGAAGCATTCCCCCCTCCCCCTGCCCCCCCCCTTGCGCGCCGCCATGTTCCGGCGGGCGGTGGCGGCGGTGGCGGCGACGGTTCAGGGGCGAATCACGTTGGTTTCGACAGTGCGCATTGCGCGACTGTTCGTAGCACGAGGCTGGCTTCGCGAACGGGGGGGCCGTGTTCGTGTATGTGAGTAGGCGCGTACATCCTCTGTGGGCCTAGGGCCTATAGGGTCGCGTACGTCCTCTGTGGGCCTGGGGTCGAGGGTCGAGGCTCCAGCACCGAGGCTCGAGGACCGAGGCTCGAGGCAGCGGCGGCAGCGGCGGCAGCGGCGGCAGCGGCGATGAAGGCGTCGGAGGTTCGCCCGGCGACAGCGGCGGCGGCGGAAGTGGCGACGGCGGGCGTGTAGGTCGAGGCTTGGAGGGTCCATCTCGATCCGATCGATCCGATCGGATATCGACGTCGGGGCAGTCTCGATCCGAGTCGATTTCGACGTACGGGCGACTCGATGCGGCGCGATGCCTTCACGGCGGCGTTTTGCATCCTGGCGCAGCCCGTCCGATTCGATTTCGACTCCGTGCCGATCCGACTCTATAGGCTTACGCCACATCCGCCGACCCCTTAACTGAGTTCAAGGCTTTGATGGTGCGTTTCGGTGTTTGGAGGGTTCACGTCGCGCAGTTGGCAGGCCTTTCAGTGCAGTGGCAAGTGCGGGAAGAAATTGCCGAAGTCGGCTCTCTCCGTGGACGCGAGCCATGTCGCGCGTGACGAGAAGAAGGACAACTTGAAATGCAAGGCGTGCAAATGATACCAGTAGGGCGCCCGCGCCATGGCCCGTAGAAGTAGGAGCAGCGGGGGTGCGAGCGAGAGGGAGAACGAAGGAATGAGGAACGCAGAGAAGGTGAAAGCGGAGGAGGAGGAGGACGAGGAGGAGGAGGAGGAGAAGGAGTAGGAGGTGGAGGCAGAGGAGGAGGAGGAGGAGGAGGAGGAGGAGAGGAGGAGGAGGAGGAGGAGGGAGGAGGAGGAGCGAGGAGGAGCGAGGAGGAGCGAGGAGGAGGGGGAAGATGGGGGAGAGGCGACAGGGGAGTCAAAGAAGAGGAGGATGAGGAGGAGTCACGATCTGGTATTGAGGCGTCACGGGGGCGTCTTGGAGGGAGTGCATGGGCCTCTTGGGGGTTGTCTGGGAGCCTGCTGGGAGCTTTTTAGCCTTCGATTAGGGCTCCCTGGGACCCTCTTGGGAGATTCTTGCAGCAGGATGAGGGTATCTCGGAGCCAAAGGACAAAATGTTGCCCTCCCGGTTCCCTCTTGGAGCCGTCTGGAGGCATGGGCCGTTTTTGGCGCTTCTTGGGCCGTTGTTGGGCCCTCTTGGACCTCTCTCGGCAGTTGCCGAGGCCGTCCTGGGAGGACATGGAAGGTTTCATGGCCCGTGGCGGACGTTGCGAAACGCAAGAGGCCAATCTGGTACACATGAACGTATTACGAAGGGAACGGGACGATTTCTGCTTCTTGGGGCTCGCTTGGGACGCCTCTTGGGGGCCTCTTGGGTTGTCTTGGGGGCTTCGGAGGTTGTCTGGAAACCATCGCGGGCGTTTTGGGAGAATTTTTCGGCGACTCGCTGCCCTCTTGGACGGTCAAGGAGGCGTTTTGGTGCCCTCTTGGTTCGTTTTGGACCCACTGTTACGCCATGGCGCGTTCGGGGGCGGGCCGCGCTGGGCGAGGGGGGGGGTCGAATTGCCGATTTGCGGTCACAGGGGGGAGCTTACGGGGGGAAAGAATCTCACACGCCTAAAGACCCACAAAGGGTCGGCGGATGACGGGAAGCGCGAACGAGAAACGAGGAGCGTGGACCGTTTTTCTTAAGGGAAAACCTTTATATGGGGCTCTGGATTGCATCCTGGCCGGGCGTTGGCGGATGACGGGATTGGCCGTTTCGCTCGGGACATCCTCTAAAAAATGAAGTTGGCGTTGGCTCCAGGCCGCCTTTGTGTTCAGATCGCTCTTGGAGCGCCCAAGAGGGTCCCCAGAAGGCCACAGGACGGCTCCAGGGGGCCCGCATGACGGCCCCAGAGGCCTCCAAGAGCACCCCCAAGAGGGCCCAAGATGCCAAAATCGTCAAATCCCTATCGGAAAACCCATATTTTTAGTATATACGACTTTCTCGTCTTCACGACGTCGAAGATGGTCCAAGAGTCCCCCAAGACCGACCCGCGACGGCCCAAGAGACTCTCAAGAGGCGCCCAAGACGGCCGAAGAGCGCGCCAAGACGGCCCAAGAGGCTCCCAAGAAGGCCCACGAGGGCCCCAAGAGGGGCCCAAGAGGGTGAGCCCGAATCGAAAATCGGAGCACCCCGCCCAAGGACGGCCCTAGGAGGCCCCAGGAGGCGCCCAAGAGGTCCCAAGAGGCCCCCGAGAGGCCCCCAAGACGCCCCAAAATGCCCCCAAGAGGCCCAAAAGAGGCCCCAAGAGGACCCGAAACGGCCTGCGAGAAGCCTCCCAAGACAGCAGGAGAGTGCTGATTTGACTTGCCCAGCGCGCCGACACCCAGGGCGTAACATATGTTCTGTCGCAATATGCTGAGGGAGGAAACGCGACATCAGCGTCATTAGTCGGAGGTCCGCGCGGAGTCCTTGGATCTGCGCTGGGCCCCCCTTGGCGGCGCTTCCAGCGCCGCCCCTGCCGCGCTCCGCGCAGCAGGGAGGGGGGGTCCATCACCGACCGTTGCATTCCGCACGGGCCTTCGAACGTTCGGGTTTCCTTCTAGTCGGGGGCGCGGGTCCCACGACGGCTGGAAAGCCTGCCACCCCACGGCGGCCCCAACCCCCCGCTGGGACCGGCGCGCCCGAGGGCGGAATATACGCTCGTCTGCCAGCTGCGGTCCCCCGCGCCCGCGCACAGGAGGGCGTCCTCCGCGACGCCCAGGGACTGCGTGCTCCACGAGGGCCCCCTGCTGCTCTTGGTGGACGGCCGCGAGCAGGATCTCCGCGACGCGGCAGAGGTTCCGAGGCGGGGATTGGTCCAGATCCACCGCCTGCGGGATCAATCCTCGCGGACCTCCACGGGCGGTGGATATGGAAATCTTCGGGCCCCCGGCGGCCCGAATATGTCCGTATCCACCGCCCGCTGGGGCACCAGGACGTCGGCTCCCAGGCGGTGGATATGGATAAATTCCTGCCTCGCAGAGGTGGGCGGAGGGGGGTCCTCGGAAGGCCGGGTGGCTTCGCGGAAGCCTTCGCGGAAGCCCTCCTTGAGAAGCCAGGGGCGCTGCTTTTGCCGTCTGAGAGCGTCTCCCCCCTCGGGGTCGACGACGCATGCAGCGAGCCGGCGCCGTCCCCTGCGGCAGCAAAGCGGGCCCCCGAGGGGGTATCTTGCGCAGCATCTCGGCGCCTCTTACGGCCTCCTGGGCCAATCTTGGGGCCTCCTCTGCGTTCTTGGCTGCCTCTCCCCCGGGCCCTTTCGGGACCCTCTGTGGTGAAGCCCTGGAAGTCGTTTCGTGCACCCATTGAGGGGGATTGGGGGTGAGAAGAGGGATGATGATGATGATGAGGAGGAGGAGGAGCGATGAGGAGGAGGAGGAGCAAGGAGGAGAAGGAGGAGGAGGAGGAGGAGGAGCGAGGAGGTGGAGGAGGAGGAGGAGGAGGAGGAGAATGGAGCGAGGAGGAGGAGCGGAGGAGGAGGAGGAGGAGGAGATGGAGGGAGGAGGAGGAGAGAGGAGGAGGAGCGAGGAGGAGCGAGGAGGAGGAGGAGGAGGAGAGGAGGAGGAGGAGGCGAGATGAGGAGGGAGGGAGGAGGAGGAGGAGGAGCGCGCGAGGAGGAGCGGGGAGGAGGAGGAGGAGGAGGAGGAGGAGGATCGGATCGACTCGGAATTCCGCGTGAGAGCTTCCAGAAAAGTTGCTGCCAGGGGCGTGCCGCCTCCCGGTAACGACAGGAGGAAAAGGAGGAGGAGGCGGAGGCGGCGGCGGAGGGGAAGAAGGAGGAGGAGGAGGAGGACGAGGAGGAGGAGGAGGAGGAGGAGGAGGAGGAGGAGGAGGAGGAGGAGGAGCTGCTGCCCGAGACCCCATCCAGACAGGGTGCCACGACTCGGGCCGCGGCTACGCGCTGCACCCTCACGTGGGCGCCCGCGTCACGAGATACCTTCCCGCGCAGGCGCGTGAGATTTACCTGTCATGGCATGTTCGTGTTTCGCTGCTTCGTCTCATCGTACTTCGGGAGCTGTTGGGAGGCAGTGCCAATCCAGAGTCACGGCAAAGGCATTTACCAGATCGGGATACGCGGCGCGAGCGCATCGTACACAGTGCGATCTCAGACATCAGTACCCTCAGCAAATTGTTGGAACGATTATTTCAACACCCATCAGCTTTTGCATTCGTCATGATTGCAAGTCTACCGCGTTTACATCGGATAAGCACATCCATGCGGCGGCATCTGTGCCTTCGAAACTTCAGCAGCTTATGCATTCCAGCGATACCCCAAACTTCTCACATCACATATTGCCGAGTAAGTCCAAGCGCTTACAAGGACCAGTTTGCGCACCCAGCTTGCCACCTGCGAGTCTTGTGCCGCTGCCGCCAAGTTGGACCCCGCTGTCCTTCCCAACTCCTGTCAAGTTGTCTCCTCCATCGCAGCCAGCCGAACAGTACACATGTGAATCAAGTGTGCGTTCGCACGTTCCCGCATCAGTCTCCACGAAATTAGAGCTGGCCTCAAACGCTGGAAATGCGAAAACGGTAGGGGCCCAAACGTGCGTCTGCGTTAAAAAAAAACTACTAGGTATAGCGAATGACAGCATGACATTTCTGACCCCGACGGTTATATATCAATGTGAGCATGTGTCGGTTGGTGGTCCAGACGGTGGTCTTACACAGACATCATGTTGTAGCTAAGGCGGCCCAACAGACAGAGTTCATAACGAACCATGTCCCCTGCCTCATTAGTCATTGTCGTCTCCAGGAGATTAAACAGTTGAGCTTTTTGCAGACATCATTGGCGGAACCAGCGAAACCACGAAACACAAGTGTCGAGACTACCTTGTCCAAGGCAAAACGATGTCCATCAAAGGTGTTAATTACGACCTGGGCATCCTGCGTGGCACTTTCAGAAAGCACGCTGTTCAGGAGAACCATGTCATGCCGTCACTCGTGCATCACATTCTTTTCGCAGTAGCACTCTTCACAGGACATCAGCACTGCGAAGAAAGCACCGTGAGGAAACTATGTTCATGATCGCATTTACCCGCAGCTGGGAGGAGAATCGCTGGAGGTTGTGCGTGTTGACGGGCTTAGGAGAGGAGGAGTTTGATCTGCATGGGCGTCAACCGTAAATGGGGCCATAATCTGCTTGCTCGCGGTCGCCATGACACATTCGACATATGTTTATCACAGCAGCGCGGCACTCGCACATTTGTCACCAACGGCGTCGCGTCATCGCCTCGTAGCCGCAGGATGACTCGAAGTTTGTGGAGGCACCGGTCAGCTCTATTTCCATTTGCCATGATTGGAGCGTTGCTCTCCTTTGCATATCTCTCCCTCGCCCTTTGTTGAAGGTCGGATAGCGGTTGCGCATGTGTGTGTGCGTGTGTTGGTGCGTTCGCGCATTGGTCGGGAGGGGCGCTGCTTGCGGCGAGCTACCTGGCCTCTTAAGACCCCCAGGTGAATGTTACCTACCAAACGAGTCGACCGGTGTGAGCGAGTTCTGCTAATCTCACATTTTAGAAGTTGCTTGCGTCAAGAAAGCACAGTAATCTGGTGCCACCCTCAGCGGCAGCGGCGTGCGTTGCGACGAACTCCGTATACTTACCCAGCGCTGCGCCTTCATTTCAGCCGTAGGAGCTACCAAAGCAAATGTCATCATATAAGTTCGGCCGATTTCAAAACTGGCGGTGCCACAACATCTTCTTTCTCAGTTACGCCGCGAGACGGGCCGCCAGGCTGCTTTCGAAGGTGGCCGATCTGCCCTCGCTGGCCTCCCCGCACTTGCCCGCGGCGCAGACGGCGGCTTTGCTCCTGCGGCGCTGTGGGGCGGGCAAGCTGACGCACGCGCTGCGCGCGACGCCCCCTGCGCAAGCGCGGCCAAGGGCGGCGACCTACGACGACGCCCTAGTGTCCGCCAGCGAGGAGCTCGCGAACCTCGACCCGCTCACGCTCCCAGAGCAGCTGCGCTGCAGGCGGCTGCGCCCCCCGACGCCAGGAGGAGCTGGCCCTGGCGGCTTGGGCGGCTTCCTGGGCGCAGAGTTCGGGCGCCGACGGGGCTGGCCGCCTTGGGCGACCTGGGCGCGAGCCCACCGCCGCTCGCTGCCGCCTGCCGGAGTAGCATCGCGGAGCTTGCCGCGCCCCCGCCGCCGCGCCGCCGGGGCCTGGGCGGCCCCGACAGGCTGCCGACTTCGGTCGAGCTCGCTACAGAGCCTCAAGAGAAACTCTAGCAGGCGCCCACTGCAAGGATTGACCGAAGAACGCTGCACGTCCTTGCTGGGCCCCCTGGACTCTGAAGGTTGCTGGGCGCTGCTCCGCTCATGCGGCGGCCCTCGCGCGGCAACTTGGCAGATCGCTTCGCCTGGCGCACCTGGGCGGCGCCTGGAGGGCCCCGACTTCCGCTCCACGGCGCGATGCTTGCTGGGCCAGGGCGCCGCCACCGCCGGGGCCACCCGCCGCATCTACGCCCGCACTGGGCAGCGCGACGGCCCGCGCTGCTGAGGCCCCCTCGGCGCCGAGGCTCGCCGCGGTTGGCGCCGCTCGCTCGGGGGCGAACTCTAGGCGCGGGCCGCGGAGCCGGCGGCGCGAGGGCCGAGCGCCCAGTGGCCAGGGGTGCTTGCGCCCGCTGCGGCATGGGGCTGACGACGAGGCGGGAGGGGGCGATCTCCGACCTCGAGATCCTCGGCGTCGCGGCGCTCTACGGCGTGTCCGGCGATATCGACCGGCCCCGGGCCGCGGCCGCGGCGTTGTTTGCCGCGACGCAGAAGCGGGCGAACGCCAGCGGCATCCCGCTGGGCGCGCGCCCTGGCGGATGGCGTCGCCGGCGTTGGAGACCAGCGGTCGCCGCGGCCCCGCCGCCCTGCGCCACGCGCGGCGCCAGGCGCGAGAGCAAGCGCAGTTTCGCCGCGGCCCCGGCCGCGGCCAGCCCCCCATCGTCCGCCGCTGGGGCGCGAAGTTGGCGGTCGCCCTGCAGGCGGCCACGGCGCGCCAGCTTTGGACGGCGCTCGGCTCGTAGGCGGCGCGGCCTCGCGGCTGGGCCGTCTTGACTTCTGGCACGCCGCGGTGCGCTTTTTCATCGCCGCGTCGCTGGGGGAGCTCAGCGCGCGCCGGGGCGCGCAGACTGGCGCGCGAGTTTTTGCGGGAGAAGGAAGCGGATCACCGGAAGCAGCACCAGCATCATCATCATCATCGTCATCATCATCGTTGGTTTCTGCGTTGTCAGATCCTGTCTTATCGACATCAGCAAACATGGCCCCCAAGGGCGCCATCTTCCGCGATTGAGCTGGCTGTCTGTCCCGGGGGAGTTGGAAGTGGGGCTGGGGCAGTGGGGGGGGGGGAGTCCGTGATCGCGGCTAAGTTCAAAACGTTCGGCGAGGGCTAGCGACTGGACTGGCATCGACCTTGCAATTCCCACGCGCACCCATTGTTTTCAAGGTGTTCGCGCAGATCAGTGAAAACCTTCGACGAGGGCCGCTGAGAGCGAGTTCGTAAACAGGTAGGGCATCACTACTGTCAAACCTAGCGGCGCAATTACTGAGCAGTTCGCGCATCGTTACTTGTTTCGCAGTGCGTTCGAAATATTTAGAAAGAATCGCGGCCACGTTTAATTCAAAGTAACCCTGTTGAGGACACATGCAGCAACAACTCATACCAGTCAACTGGCACGGGCCATTTGGAGGAGATGGTGGTGCCTGTGGAGAAGGGTTTACACTGAGATTGGAGGTGATATCAGGAGGGTGGCACATCGCACTCGGTGAAAGCATGTCCAACAATGACTTCGGACTGCCTCCGGTGAAGGTGCGAACTGCCTACGGCGAGGGTCTTTGTCGCAAAAGAGATTGAAGTGTAGAGTTGGGAAGGTTGGATGGGACCTCGCGGGTCTCTGCAATTTTTTGTCGTTTCGCATTCCCTGCGCCGCTGAGTCTGCATTGAGGCGACTTTACTGGCAGCACATATGTTTTCGCTGTTTCTCTGGCAGGGAAAAGCGCAACTGCCTCGTCGCTCGTGTTTGACCAAAGTAATTATGAGAAAAATAAGGAAGGTCGAGGAGAAGGGTCGAGGAGGAGGATCGGAGAAAATCGAGGAGGATCGGGGAGGATCGAGGAGGAGGGGGAGGAGGAGGTGGAGGAGAAGGAGGAGGAGGAGGAGGGGGAGCGAGGAGGTGGAGGAGGAGGAGGAGGAGGAAGGAGAAGGAGCGGGGAGGAGCGAGGGGAGGAGGAGGAGGAGGAGGAGGAGGAGGAGGAGCGAGGAGCGAGGAGGAGGGACGAGGAGGAGGAGGAGGAGGAGGAGGGGGAGGAGGGGGAGGAGGAGAAGAGGAGGGACGGTAAAGGAGAGGAGGAAGAGGGAGTCGGGAGGAGGAGAAGAGGAGGAGGAGGAGGAAGGAGGAGGAAGAGGAGGAGGAGGAAGGAGGAGGAGGAGGAGGAGGAAAAGGAAAACCATCGGGGAGGAGCGGCCCTTGTCTGGGGAGGAGCCCCCCCCGTGGGCAGGAGCGGCACTTCCGCCTCTACAGCGGCCGCTTCGAATATTTCCCGGACGCCATGAGCGCCGCGCGCGGCACGGGCCGCTGCGGCCGGGTGCCGTCCGCCGAGGTCGAGCAGGTGCGGGTGCAGGACGACGGCTTCGAGATCACCCTGGCCAGGGAAACGCTGCGGTTGCGCCTGCCCCACGGCACTGTTCCTCCAGCTCCTGCTCGCCCATCCCTCGCCCGTTTCCTTCCGAGTTCGTCCTGGCCCTCCTCCTTCTCATCCTCCTCCTCCACCTCCGCTTCCGCCTCCGCCTCCTCGTCCTCCTCCTCATCCTCCTCCTCTCCTCCTCCTGCTCCTCCTCCTCCTCCTCCCTCCTCCTCCCTCCTCCTCCTCCTCTCTCTCCTCTCATCTCCTACTCCTTCCTCCCTACTCCTCCTTCTCTTCTCCTCCTCATCATCAACCAGCATTCGTTCATCAGCATCATCATCGTCATCACCTCAGCCATCATCATCATCACTCTCAATCATCATCAGCATCATAATCATCATCATCATCATCAGCATAATCTCATCATCATCATCATCAATCATTATCAGATCATCATCTGCATAATATCATCATCATCATCATCATAATCATCATCATCATCATCATCATCATCAGCATCATCATCATCCTCATCATCATCATCGTCATCAGCAGCATCATCATCATATTCGTGCTCCTTCTTGTCCTCTTCCTCCTCTACCTCCTCCTCCTCCTCCTGCTGTGGGGTCGGGCATCGGCCCCCTGGTGGAGGCGGGGGCCGCCATGCCCTCGGGGCGACAAGCCCCCGCACCCCGGGGGACGCCGCCAAAGTGCGGTTGCCTTCCCCCGGAAGGTTCGCCAGGTCCCGTGGCCTCCCCCAGGGCGGTGTTGGATCCCCCCCAGCACTCGCCGCCCTGGGGCGGGACCGGCGGCTCGTCTTTGTCGTGTCGTTCGTCCGTGTCGTGTCGCGCGTGTCGTGGCCGTTTCGTCCCCCGTCGTGTCGCGTCGTGTCGTGCCGCTTTTTTGTTTCGGTCCTGGGGTCCGAAACCTGTGTCCCTGGGGGCGGGTGGCGCGGCGCCGTCTTTTGCTTTCAAGGCGGCGCCACGCAGCCCGTTCCTTGGGCCCCCCGTCGTTTTTCCCCGTGTCGTGCTGGCCGGGCTCGCCCGCAGGCCGGGCGCGCGGGGCGCCGCGCTGTGGCGGCGGGCGCGGCGACGCTTCTATGGGCTGAAGTGTGCGCGGCGGAAAAAAAATCCTAATAGAATCCAAATCGGTCATCAGTACTGACTCAAAGCCTCATACTCATACTCCATCCCTCCCTCCTCCTCCTCCTCCTCCTCCTCCTCCTCCTCCTCCTCCTCCTCCTCCTCCTCCTCCTCCTCCTCCTCTCCTTCCCCCTTCTCCTCTTCGTCGTCCTCCTCCTCCTCCTCCCGCGTTCCCATCCTGCGGTCGTCCGCATCCCCATCCTTTCCGCCCAGCGGGTTGAGGGTTTCAGGTCGTATCCCCACCACCAGCGTTCGCTGGTAAAGGGAACTTGCGGTTCCGCCGCCACTGAGATGTTTTTTTTGGTCACGGGAAGGGAAACAGTGGACAGCATCCGAGAGTTGTTGCTTGCTCGCTTGCTTGTTCATTTTTCCCCCCCCGCGCCCATCCTCTGTTTCCCCCTTCCCCCTCCTCCCGCGCACGCTGATCCTGCTGCTCCTGTTCTTTAGGCCCCTCTCGCCCTTCGGGCTCCTGCCGCCGCTGCTCATGTTCCGGTTATTGTTCCTCTTCGCCGTCCTTCTGGTTGCTTCCTCGTGCCCTCGCGCCCCAGCCCCCGCCCCATGATTTTTCCTGGTGGGCAAGCGTAGGCGTGCAAACCGTCGTGTCCATGAGAATAAAGCATACCGGCCCAGGCGCTGCTGCTTGCCACTAGGCCCATTTGTGTGCAGCATCGCATGTTGTGGCTAAGAGACCAACAAAAACAAACAGAGCAGCCCGTGAGGGCGTTGGGTACGCACGCAGCGGGCGGTGGAGGAGGAGGACCCAATGCTCTTCCTCCACTTCTCCTTCTCTCCTCCTTCTCTCCTCCTTCCTCCTCCTCTCCTCCTCCCCTCCTTCTCGCCTCCTCCTCCTCCACCTCCCCCTCCTCCTCCTCCTCCTCCCGCCTCCCTCCTCCCTCCTCCTCCCTCCTCCTCCACCCTCTCCCCCTCCTCCTTCCTCCTCTCCTCCTCTCCTCCTCCTTCCTCCTCCTCTCCTCTCCTCCTCCTCCTCCTCCTCCTCCTCTCCTCCTCCTCCTCCCCTCCTCCTCCTCCTCCTCCCCTCTTACCCTTCTCTCGAACCAGAACGGCACAAGCATCATTTCTGAGAGGTCCGCGCAGACTTTTTGGATGGGCGTCGGGCCCCGCTGGCGGCGCCTCTGGCGCCGCCCCTGGCGCGTCCCGCGCTCGATCCAAGAATTCCGCGCGATTCTCCCAGATATCATGCTTATGCAGTTTTCAGTTCATCCCCATCCTTCCCTCCCCCCTTTCCTGCTTCTCGTTCTCCCTAACTCCTCGTCCTGCTCCCTTCACGTTCGCAAGCGGCGTGCGATCCTCGCCCCTTCTCTTTCCTCACTCCCCCCGGCCTCTCCTGGAGCGCGTCCTGGCCGGAATCTTCGGGCGTGCGCAGCTGTGGCGACGATGGCCATTCAGGAGCGATCTTCTTGCTCCTCCTCCTCCTCCTCGTCCTCCTCCTCCTCTTTCTCATCTTCCATGCTCCTCCCATCTCCTTCTCCTCCTCATCATCCTCATCCTCCTCATCCTCATCATCATCCCGCTCATGCTCGCCCCTCCCTCGCCCGTTTCCCCTCGAGCTCGTCCTCGCCCTCCTCCTGCTCCTCTCCTCCTCCTCCTCCTCCTCCTCCTCCTCCTCCTCATCATCATCATCCTCATTCTCCTCCTCATCAGCAGCATCATCAGCATCATCATCGTCATCATCAGTATCATCAGTGGCATCGCCATTGCCATCATCGTCCTCATCATCGGCATCATCGTCATCCGCATTATCACCACCATCATAATCGTCGTCATCGTCATCATCACCATCATCACCATCACCCTCATCATCATTAGTGGCAGCAGCCTCATCATCATGATCAGCATCATCACCATCAACGTCATCATAACCATCATCATCATCATCATCATCATCATCATTATCATCATCATCATCACCAGCAGCATCATCATCGTCACGATCAGCATAATCAGCATCAACGTCATCATGACCATCATCATCACCAGCAGCAGCATCAGCAGCACCAGCATCATCAGCACCATCACCATTAGGTTCATCATCATCATCATCATCACCATCATCATCACCATCATCATCATCATCATCATCATCACCATCGTCATCATCATCATCATCATCATCATCATCACCATCATCATCATCATCATCATCATCATCATCATCATCATCATCATCATCATCATCATCATTATCATCGGCATCATCGTCATCACCACCAGCATCATCATCAGCAGCAGCATCATCATCCCCCCTTCTTCCTCCTCCTCCTCCTCATCCCCCTCATCCACCTCATCCCTCCTCCTCCTCCTCATCCCTCCTTCTCCTCCTCTTCTTACTCCTCCCCCTTCTCCCTCCTCCCCTCCCTTTCTCCTCGTCCGCACCCTCGTCGTCCTCCCCGGTGTGGACATGAACACGTGGGCCCCTGCACTCCGGAGGGCGCTGGTGCCGGACGGTTCGGCGCACGCAGATGGGCCCGACCGGCGAGCAGAGGAGCTTTCTCCCCTCGGCCTCCATGGGTCAGGAAGACGATTATTTACTTTGCGCATGGGCCATCGTCAAGCACTGGCTCCGAAGAACGGCGACGCCACCCGAAGAGGCCCGAGAAGGGACCGAAAGGGAAGCCGAGGGACAGGACCCAGGGCCCAAGAGCAGACGAGCGAATAGGGGACCGACCGAAGAAACAGGACCCAACCACGAGGGGCCGCAGTCAAAGCGCGGGTTGGGAAAAGATGGGGTTGGGAGAAATGAGGACGTCCTTACCCGTCGGCGGCCGAAGGTATCGTTCATTGCATTCGGATGCTATTGCTCATACCCTGCATCCTCCCAACCCCTCCCTCCCAACGCGATCATTGTTCTCCTCAATGGGAGGCGGCCTTCCAAGATGGCCAGGGGCTTCGTAGAGCGCAGACGGCTTGCGCCACAGACTGCTGGTGAGATCCTCCCTGGATTCCGCGCGTCCCACAAGCCCCCTGTTCAAAGGCCCTTCGGCCCCGAGCGCGTCTCGACGCAGGGCTCGCTGGCCGTGCCGGCAGCTCTGGCGGAGGAGCGGGCAGACGGCTTCTTACAAGCCCTGGAAAGCTTCCAAGAAGGCCCCAATCGGGCATAGCCAGGACCCCAGGTAAGTGGACCCGGTTAGTGGTAGGGCCCCAGAGCCTTTGAATTGGCCAGAATCACTAAACCAGGTCTGCCGTCGCTGGTGCTTCTCACGTGACGGCAGTTCCGGTTTGTGGAACGGGGCCTAAGGGTCCCTTTCCCTGGCGCCGTTGTTCGGGCTGGTAGTTTTTTGGTGTGCCTCATCACTCATTACCTACACTGGAGCGCACCCTAGAACGGGGAGAAGCAGGAGGAGCAGAAGGAGCAGGACGAGGAGGAGGAGGAGGAGGAGGAAGAGGAGGAGGAGGAGGGGAGGGGGGGGAGGAGGAGGAGGAGGAGGAGGAGGAGGAGGAGGGGAGAGGAGAGGAGGAGGAGGAGAGGAGGGAGAGGTGGGGAGGAGGAGGAGGAGGCGGAGGAGGCGGAGGCGGAGCGGAGGCGGTAGGCGGAGGCGGATCGGCGGAGGAGGAGGAGAGGAGGAGGAGGAGGAGGAGGAGGAGGAGGAGGAGGAGAGGAGAGGAGGTGGTGGAGGAGGAGGAGAGGAGGAGGGGGAGGACGGGAGGGGAGAGGAGGAGGAAGGAGGAGGAGGAGGAGGAGGAGGAGGAGTAGGAGGAGGAAGGTGGCCATTTTCCTCTCAATTGGGGGGGGTCCCCCCCCGTCCATGCCACCTTTGAAGGAGTCCCCAGCGCCCGCCCAAGATGCCCGAGCGTGCGATGGGGCTCAGGCGGCCCAGTGCGGGGTTGCCATCTGCTGCTACAGCCCTCTCAGCGCGACGGGGACGCGCGCCCAGGACTGCGTGGCCGAGCTGGCCAACTTCGACATTCTGTGCTTCATCGGCACGCAGAGGCGCGCCGCGTCGGCCGAGATGTTCGGCCCCATCGCCAAGGCCCATCGGTTCTACTCGATCGATTGGGGGTGGGTCCAGTCCCCGTACGTCAACAAAGCATGTGGGCTCCAGATATGGCCGCATGAGAACAAGTTTCCACGTGCATGTATGAGAGGGTTTGCCCCAGTGCCAAGAAACCTTCGAGGTAGAGTGGGAGCAGTGCGGGTGGAGAGAGGTTCGTTACGTCTCATGTTGATTGCAATGTACTTTCCGCCCGCGCCGAATAGAGGCCGTGAACATCGTGATCGATGGCAGCGGGCGGTGAGATCGATGATGAGTTGGCTGTACTCACTGTTGGGATCTACAAGCGCACGCTGGTCACCAGTAATCTGCTGCGACTTGAACGGTCAGTTCGCCGAGACCCCACATGTGACGGGAAGACATCATCTGCATGAATTCAACTACACAAGTGAGATGCTGGCACCTTGTCTTCGAGCGCACAGCTTGTGCGCCATCAGCACTTTTTTCCCGACGGGCGGCCCCACGTACTACAATAGAGGGGTGGTGAAGACGCTCGACTACATTATTGTACCGCAGGAGTGGCACAAGGCTACAATGTGGTGCAGAACCTTGGTACGGTCGGCGTGGCGTCTTCAGCTACACAACCAGAGTGCGCGGTGGGATCATCTTCCGCTGGGGGCATGTTTCGACCTAGAGGTGATTGGTCAGCCATACGAGCCGATCAAGAAGACGCATGTCAGCAAAGAGATGATTGCAAAGATGCTCCAGCTTGATGATCGAAGGCCCGAATTCGTGATGACAGTTGAGGCACAACTACAACGGCACCTCCATCAGCTTCTCCATGGCGCGAGATACCAGAGTTTGCCAACACAGCAATCCATGACGCTCTCAAGGCAGGCGCAGAGAAGCACTGCCAAGGCACCGTCGGACACGTCGAGGACCACACCGCGCACACGAGAGAGGTCAGAGAGTTACTTCGACAACGGCGAGATATACGTGATAAATTTTCCTTTATCCACGAGAAGGTGGACATGACGGCGGTGGTTCATGTTGGCGCGGCTAGTGAGGCTCAGTACCAGCAAGCAATCAACGACACGGTGGACATCACCGCCGAGGGGGTATGTGAAGGTACGAGCGATGCACGACGTGAAGAGGAGATAGACAGGAGTATTGGGCCCGAGTTACACAGTGAGAGTTTGGCTTTGCAGCCAGAGGATGGATCAAGGAATTTACCCAACGGTGTACGACGGGATGGTGAGATAGACATGAGTATGGTGAGTTTTTTCGGATCTTAACGATATCGAGAGTTGGTTGAGCAAGGCTTCACACATGAGCAGATGTACGCAGTCCGAGAGATCAGCAGACTGACGTTCCGATTGCAGATTGTGAGCAGATGGTTAACGCAAAGAAAGCGAGCATACTGTAATGAGGTAACGGAGTTGAGATGCGACGAGTTCATGCGGGCGGCGAAGGCGAACGACACGTTCACAGTCCACAAACCCGCGCGGCTTTTGGCGCAGCGCGGCCGGGGAGGTCGCAAGAGAGTATTCGGACGCCACTCCATCCCTGGTGCTACTGAGGAGTGGATCGCCCGCATGAAGTTGAAAGGATACGATGGTGGATGCTCGGCGAGTGAATATGATGAGAATCAGTTGAGAGAGATGAGAGAGTATCCGAGGGCGACGATCGTCACGCAGGAGCAGATCGGAGAGGAGGCGAGGCAGGTCCGCGCTGCGGCGTGGCGAGCCAAGCTTTGGAGATCGTGCCCAGAATGGAGCTCGCCAGCGGAGTTGCTGAGAGTTATGATGTTTCCCAAGTGGTACAACAAGCGCATGATGCATCACAGACAGGGGCTGGGCTACGAGTCAGAGCTCGAGAAGCTGTCTGCCCCCGCGTTCCACGCCTGCTTGTGGGCGCTCGTCGAGGGCATCCTTCGCACGCTGCGGGCCCCCCTCGTGTGGGCCCGCGCCCGTGCGGCCAAGATCGGCAAGGGCAACGAGAAGGAGGGGGTGAACGGCGAGAGGGTGGTTATGATGATATGCAGCCTGGCCAAGTTTCACTACCGCGCGATGCTCAAGGCCGCGGACACCGAGAACATACCGTGCTGGGCCTACGGAGCCATCCGGCACAGGCGGCGGGAGGGGGCGATAGTGGTCCAGATGTGCAGCGCATGGAGGCTCAAGCATCATGGGTACCAGCACGCCCGCCGCCTGCATGATGCAGCGAACGCGTTCTACTCGATCAAGACGGCCAGGCTGAATCAGGTGATCGCACAGCGAATTCATCCCCGACATGTACCTATGATGTTGGACAGAGTGAAGTGGGCGCACTTCAACTTCGACGGCCAGGAGGATCGCCTCTTGCTGATGGGCGAGGGCTGCGTGCCAGGCGACCCCGTGATGGTATTCCTCTTTGTCTTGGCGTACGCGACGGGGCTCGAAGAGTACGCACTGAACGCTTGTCAGAACTTAGAGGTTGTTTCACCGTGGACGGGGCAGGCAACCCAGGCCGCCCTCGCTCTTTTCGTGGATGATATTGCGGATGCGTTCAGATTCCGCAATCGGCAGCAGGCACAAGACCGCGGAGCTGACCAAAATGAGAAGGTAACAGACATGTTGGGGGAGATGGGGCTGAAGCAAAACGTGAGCAAGCAAGAAACTGTACCGTATTGCTGCGGGGTAGGAAGTTTCAAGCTCGAGCGGGAGTTTTTGAGGAACCAGGTCGTCCAGGGACAGAGCGCAGCTGCAGCCAGGTACCTAGGGGTTCGTATCACGGCCAGGTTCTCGATCGCTGTCGAAACGGGATATCGTATCCAGGCGGGGAAGACTGCGCGGGGGATGACGGGCAACTTCTGGACATCGAACGTCAGCAAAAATGTAAAATATCGATATTCAAGGGCTACGTCATAAACGCCATCCTGACGGGCACCGAAACGTTTGTCAAGCATGATGGGCCTATGAAGGTCCACGACTTCCAGGGGCTCCAAGGGTTTCTTGCACGTCGAGGGCGGGTCGCACTTGGAGGTGTCGCCAATCAAAGGATCGATGGCTCGATTAGGTCGCTGACGAACTTAGAGGTCATGGTGAAGCTCGGGTCCGCCAGCCTGTTCGTGGAAGCGCGCGCGCGGCGGCTAGAATGGCTCCAACATCTGTTAGCGGAGCCAGATTCAGCTGAGCAAGTTTTGGGAATTGTCTTTGGTGATCTGCGAATTGAAGGTGAGGTGTACCCCGCGGTGTCAGATGATACGCGGCAGAATGGGAACCCCTGGGCTCGGCAGTGGCTCTCGGACATTGTGGCCCTGGGCACCTTTGAGGACGGTTTTTTTTGGAAAGATACGATTTCAAGCCGATGAGGGCCATCACCGAAGGGCGGGAGGATTTTGTTCGACTTGAGCTCTCGGCACTTCGAGCGCACTTTATGATACACCGTGCACAATATGAGCCTGCGCGAGGAGAGCCTGAGGAAGGAGGATTATACCAATGCTGGGCTGTGGATGACGAGGGCAACCCGTGCCAAGCACGTATCGTGGACAAGACACGGCTCGCTTCACACTATGTGCACACACGGGGAGGAACTCATGGGCGACAGGTAGTATTTCGAGCGTGCTGTTTCAGTAATCAGTGTACGATTTGTGGCGCAGTATTCTGTTCTTATGCGCAGGCGCAGAAACACATGAGTGCAGCGGTGGAGCGTGGGATGTGTGTAGACAGATCCCGATCATCGGCGTTAGTCAGAATGCAAGCGACTCGATGCCGACTATGCGAATTTACTGCTGATGAGCCTCAAGCATTGAGGCAACGCATTCTCTGCGCCCATCTGGCCGTGCACCTGGGCGGCCATCTTCTGGAGCTGGATGTCGTGGCTCATCACGGGAGATGCGCGGCAGACGGGGGAGAAGGAGCCCAAGCGCGGCAAGTCCAAGGAGTCGGACGACGTCGTGACCAAGAAGATGCTGGTCCAGCTCGAGGCGCGCATGAGGACCCAGGAGCACTACACCATGACGCAGGTCCATCTTTCTGCGGACCATCCCCTGGTCGTAGGATGCCAGGCCCAGTGCCAGTCGCACCCCGAGCAGGTGAAGAAGGGCGGGCCCCAGCACGAGCGCGGGCCGCCAGAGCTCCATCTGTTTTCGAGGGCTCTGAAAGATATCGAGAGTTGTTTGGCAGAGGCTTCATCGCTCGAGGTCGAGAAGTACGTGGGACTGCCGACGAGAGTGCGCAGCATGCTCGAGCATGGCAAGAGCGAGGACGCCAGCGAGTGGATCAAGGACTTTACATTCAGCCCGATGTACGACGTGAAGAAGGTGAGATTGACGATGAGTATTCGAGGACACGTGCTCGTCGCCACAGCAAGCAAACACGTGGAGAAGCTGAACAAGGCCCAGATGGAGGCCTGGGGAGGCGCCCCGACGGACGACAAGTTCGAGGAAGAGCTCCAGCGGACCCCGCTGGAGTCGCCGGCGGTCCCAGAGGGCGCCAAGCTCGTCGAGCTCCAGCACGCCCTCAGCGTGATCCTTGGCGCCTGGGGCGGCTCCAGGAAGGTTGGGAAGGTCCCGAGGGGGCCCATGGCCAAGCAGCTGCTGGGCAAGAAGTAGGAGAGAGCGGAGGCGCCCCGCGGCCATCGCGGGCCGCCAGCGGGCGGGGGGTTGGGCTTTCCCGACGGGTGGAATCAGCTTCGGGCTCTTCCCTCGCTTCGGGCCCCGCGGGCCCGTAGCCGTCCTCTGGCGGCGTTCCGCCCTTGGTGTGTTCGGCCTCGGGTAGGCCATCCCTAAGGCTGATCCCCCCGTGGGAAATGCTTAGCTCGATCGGTTAGGGTTGCCCGGCGTCGTTCGGAGCCAAGGATTCATGTGGCGCGAATGGGATCGTAGTAGTAGTAGTAGTAGTAGTAGTAGTAGTAGTAGTAGTAGTAGTAGTACTAGTAGTAGTAGTAGTAGTAGTAGTAGTAGTAGTAGTAGTAGTAGTAGTAGTAGTAGTAGTAGTAGTAGTAGTAGTAGTAGTAGTAGTAGTAGTAGTAGTAGTAGTAGTAGTAGTAGTAGTAGTAGTAGTAGTAGTAGTAGTAGT